TGCTCTGTTTTGTTCTCATTAGATTACTGTGTTTGTACTAGTGTTTTGTTCTCTATTAAATTACTATGTGTGTGCTCTGTTTTGTTCTCATTAGATTACTGTGTTTGTACAGTGTTTTGTTCTCATTAAATTACTATGTGTGTGCTCTGTTTTGTTCTCATTAGATTACTGTGTTTGTACAGTGTTTTGTTCTCATTAAATTACTATGTGTGTGCTCTGTTTTGTTCTCATTAGATTACTGTGTTTGTACAGTGTTTTGTTCTCATTAAATTACTATGTGTGTGCTCTGTTTTGTTCTCATTAGATTACTGTGTTTGACAGTGTTTGTTCTCATTAAATTACTATGTGTGTGCTCTGTTTTGTTCTCATTAGATTACTGTGTTTGTACAGTGTTTGTTCTCATCAAATTGCTGGGATTATGTTGTGTATTGTTTTATGAAATTATTTTGTTTGTCCTTTGTTGTTGTTTTCATTAAATTATTATATTTGCTCTGTATTTTCTTTCTTTAAATATTAATAAATGTGATGGTAATTAGTTAATCTTACTTCATGGTTGTAACCTTGTTTTTTTTCAGTAACATGCTGTACGTTTTATGATTATGTAGTTACACACAAAGTAGGCCATAGCCTATCCAAATGAAAGAATAAAATAAATTAAAATAGTAAAAACAAAATTTAACAAACCAGGTTTATATTTTTGGGGTAGTTTCTCAATCAGAGTTGGTTACTTCCTTAGATTTGATTATTTTGATATATATGTAGGACAATTACCTGTTAGAATAAACATATTTATCACTATTATAATTATTGATATTATTTCTTTACATGCTGTCCCCTAGTGGGATGCTGTTAAGTCTACAGACTTACAATGCTAAACTCCAAGGTTTGATTCCCTGCAGTGGACAGCAGATGGTCAAATGTGGTTTTGCTCTAAAACAAACAAATCTTTACACACTGATTTGATATCTGTTTTTAGTTTTATCATTGATGCCTTATTTCATGTAATGCAACTGCAAACAAATTTAGAATATCAGTGAACCAGATGAAATGTACATTTAGAAGTTTGTTATTGAAGAGACTTCATTCTGAAAACATTATAAGTATTTTCATTAAAATCTATAAGCTGTATTGAAAGTATGCTACGAGAGTGATTTAGTTGAATAACATTTATAATAGAGCTAGGCAATTAACTCACTATAATCAGTTACATCAGTTAGTTACAGCTACACAATATGCTACGAGAGTGATTTAGTTGAATAACATTTATAATAGAGCTAGGCAATTAACTCACTGTAATCAGTTACATCAGTTAGTTTCAGCTACACAATAGGCTATCTGTGTTGTGCAAACCATGAGTATCGAAATCCACTTTTTATTGTTATAAGTCTGCAGACTTATAACTTAAAAAACATACTTTTGAATTAAAACAATAACTTAGTTGCATAGCATTCTTGTTGCATTCAGTATGTTTTTTAAGTTATATCTAGTAAGGTTATTAAAATAGTTATTTTGCCGTTACCTGATAAAGGTAACTAATAAACTTAGATTGATATTTTGAACTTGCTACATCCTAATTTTTTTTCTAAAATGATAAATAATAGTTTCTTTTTTTTTAGTATCGACTAGTAGTCAAGACAGCTTTGAAGTTATTACTGGTTTTTGTTGAATATACAGAATCAAACAGTCGGCATCTTCTTAATGCTGTTGCTACAGTGGACTTGGAGAAAAGTGAGTGCATGCAATTGATTCTGTTACTTTAAAAGAGAAGTATGAAGTTTTAAGTAAACCCATCAGATACAGTATTTGAATTAGGTCGATCAACCAGCTAGCATTCCTTGAAAGAGCTGTGTAAATGAGTATATTTCTCAATGATTAATGATAAAGTTCATAAATTGTACACATGAATGTATTGTGACTATATTAAACATTGTTTGCTCTTTGCAAATTCAATATTTCTTAGCTTGCATATACAAAAAGTATTCTAATGAAACTTAATAATATGCCATCAGAGGGCACTAAAATCAAAATTATTTTTATAACAATATTCCTGCTATTAGATCTGTACTCTATTTCAAAAAGTAAACTTTACATTATGATGTAATGCATGGAAAAACAACTTGTCTAATTCCACTTATAATTTCCTTAATGTATACAACAGGAGGACACAGGTAACTAGAATTTAATTACTAAAACTTTTGAATATGATATATTTCAAAGAAAACTATTATGCTCAATGTATATTAAAACTGGTTTGCTCTCCATCAAACGTACTCTCATAGAGACCATAGAAACGTTAACATTTCTGTTTAGTTGTTCCCTTGGACATCTTTGGTTATAAATTCAGCAGGTTAAATTAAATCATTATTATAACAATATTCACTAATTATCCATCCAGTTACACACAGTTTCCATTCCTACATGGATATAAAAACTATATATGTGTTGCTAGAAAATATTATAGCATTGGTTTCATATTCATATTAATAATACTTAAATGAAGAATGTATAAAACTCATTTTAGTTAAATGAAGAATGTATAAAACTCATTTTACTTAAATGAAGAATGTATAAAACTCATTTTACTTAAATGAAGAATGTATAAACTTATTTTACTTAAATGAAGAATGTATAAAACTCAATTTACTTAAATGAAGAATGTATAAAACTCATTTTACTTAAATGAAGAATGTATAAAACTCATTTTACTTAAATGAAGAATGTATAAAACTCATTTTACTTAAATGAAGAATGTATAAAACTCATTTTACTTAAATGAAGAATATATAAACTTATTTTACTTAAATGAAGAATGTATAAAACTCAATTTACTTAAATGAAGAATGTTCTATTTATTGGTAAAAATTTGGGTGATTTTACCAATAAATAGACCATATTCTATTAGATATATATATACTCTTGACACAATCAGAAATATTCAAGATGTTTATAAAATAACAAACAAAATTTTGTAAGTAAATAAACTAACCACATTAAAACTAGTTCATCAAGTTTTATTGTCATGTAAGTAAATAAACTAATGAAACCTGGTGTGTATTATACCTAAAAAATTTTTAATTAATAAATGCTAGCAATTACAAATATGTGAATGACTTTGTCTGTCAAATTGTCATATAGAATTAGAGACGTTATTATTGTATATATAACCAGTGGTTTAGTCATGTGGGGTCTTGAAGGAGTATTAATATCTTACTTTACAATTTGTTTTCCATATTAGTCTATTGTATATTCAAATGTGGATCAATGGAATTGTGATTATGCCTCCAATATGGAATGCTTTATATAAAATGAATCTCTGTCGTTAGCTGAAAGATTTCTGACCTTGTGTATGCTGCTGTTTTACAATAATATACCTCATGCAGTGATTGTCTGTACTTATAATTCATTGGTAGCCCTATTAAACAACCAGTTTGATAATTAACTGGAAGATCATTGTGACCTATCAGTTTTTAATATAGCAGTAAATTAAATCACTGTATATAACAACCATGAATATATGTTTTCCTTTTTTTTATGATAAAATGCAAATTAGATATATAACAAGTACATAGAAACCGACAGTATGATTGATGAAAGTTTTAATATAGGAACTGGTTTGTTATGACTTGCTAAGCCATAATGATGTCATCGTGTAAGCAGAACTAAGAAATTACCCTATAAGTTGACAGTATCTATGTTTGTTGTGTTTGAATTATTGGCATGCCACTACGTCTTATTAACTTGTTGGCAAAATATCTTTTTTTTAATATTTTACAACATTACTGAAGTAACAGAATTGAACTTAAAATTATGATCAACAAAATGTAAATAAAAAAAAACAAGTTTTACGAATAGTCCATACACTTAATCAAATATCTCCCTCTCATACAACATATACGTCATATTTATAATTCTTTTAAAGTTCCCTAGAATCATAATTCATAACATAGTAAATCCAGTCAAGATCATGTGCTAATTCAGTCATAAATATTGCCTTTTGTATCAGAGCTTGGCTAGGAAGCTATCAATGTTTTTGTCAGGTAGTTGTATTGTGTTATTCTTTACCTTGTGTATGGGGAGCTGCTCTACTACCATTACGTGGAGCAAAGATATTACAGATTTTTGTGATCGGTCAGATACAGGAAGAAAATAAATTGAAATTACAGTTTTAGGGTTTTCACTTCCATTTTGGAAGATTCAAGACTTGGTGTGAAGTCTTATGTATTCTTTCTTAAATATCCAATTTGCTGATTATGCATGTTTTAATTAACTGCAAGAAAAGCTTATTTCCACCTTCATTCATTTAAACATGGTTTTCCTTCATTTATCTTATTTTATTTAATTACAGTGTATTTCAATTTCACAACCACAAATTCATTAGTCCACCACCCAGTTGATCAATCATCTTTTAATGTATCCATCTGTTATCTTTCGTCATTTTTTTTTCATTCTGCCTGCAACAAATCGCTACACCTGTCTTTCTACTTACTAGGTCCACAAATATTCAGTTTTTGCAGAAATTAGGTAGCTTTCTGCCAAGTTAATTCATACTTGGAATACCACACACAAATAGAAAAGTATTGATATTTATTCTTGTAAAATTCTTTGTTTTAAAAGAATTATTTTTTGTTCCCACTAAAATCTAATAACTAATTTTTTTATATCCTAGATGTTATGCCTTGGTCTAACATAATGAATCTTTTAAATGAGAGAGATTCAGCTGACATGGAGCTCTTAGTCTATGCTATGACATTAATTAACAAGGTAAGAAAATGTTCAGTGTTTGTCTGTAAGAAAATTTATAATTCTTTTAACTAGGGTGACCAGATTTCCAAACCAAAAGACAGAGACAGCACAGTCCGTACCCATGATTTCAAAATGGTTATCACAAATATGAAATAGTTTAACTTTAATTTATTTTTACATTTATTGAACTGTTACACAATATTTCCAAATATATTTTAACACTGGCATTGTTTTTGAAATACTTTAAACGACTTTTTTTTTGGTGATAGTCACAAAAAAATGAGTAAAAATAGTCAAATTATATACCCAAGAAATTTTTATTTATTAACTTTATTCAGTTCACCTTAAAATAGGCTACTTCATACCTGGGTTTAGTTAAGTATCTGTAACATTTTGAAACATACTATTTTTAGGTTTTAGCATTACTTTAAAACTTTGTGATATATTTTCATAAAGAATAAATGAAACACAGAAGCCCTATTTTTTAATTAAATAGTCATAAAATTCAGTACATGGCTGTGTAATGTATGTTTTAATTATGAAATCTGCACAAACATAGGTTTCTCACCATGCACAGATGGAAATTTTGAGATAGTTTGGTGGCAGGAGAGTTTGTGTTACAACAATGAGCAAGTTAAGTAGGCCTATTACAGTTTGATGTCTTTATCATAAATTTGGGATGTTTTGTGCACTCCAAGAATTTTTCTCAAGACACTGGGACATGCACGTAAAAACGGGACTATCCAGGCAAAATCAGAACATCTGGTCACCCTACTTTACACCTAATATCAACCAAGTGAAAGTTTGTTTTGAATAATTGAATGATTATCGTATTTTTTCATTTTTCCTATATACTGACAGTGTGTAAGGGAATATATATATATATCAATGAAAAAACAACTCAATTATTAGTTGTAAATTTCATTTGACTTTAAGTAGATTATAATAATATAATTTCTACATTCTTTGTGATTATATATGACTTACAATAAATGTTAGGTTGTTGTATAGCTTGATTGTCAGAATTAAAGCAAGGGGTATTTTTGCTTCTTGGTACTAAGTTTTAATAGTATTGTTGTAACAATAAAAATGGTATTGATACTTGAAATGAACAATATTGTTTATTTATAACAGAAAGGGATGCAGATAAACGTTTTGGAATTCTACATATTCCATCTTCAGTATATAATGTCTAACAAAAATATTGTTGCGTATCTGGTCGTTTGTTAACTTCCCATAGAAATTCTTTCCAAGAACTTCAGCAATACAAGTCCTTTCTTAAATAAAACTAGTTTATTATTTCTCAATACAACTTTGCAATACACTTAATTTCCACAGTCACTTTAACTTAAACATATGCTATAATTCACA